AGATTTAAACTTATTTATATAGAAATTAATTTATTATCTAACTAATTTGTACTTATTTTATCATCCCACTATAGTTTGAATTTATTAAAACTCATATTTCAATAGTTATCAACTATTATTCCATGTCTTTAAAATGAACACCGAACGACCATCACGTATCACAAAAAACTCACTCTCATTTGGACGTACAATCAGACAAGCAGAAAAATGGCAAAAGCATGGGGAAACATCAAACAAGTAACAAAGACCAACATACCAATGCTAAAGTTAAAAGTGGTTCGAGTTTTCAAAGGACTAATGAATACTCATCCTACAAGAACATCCTTAAAAATGTCTTTCATGATATTGAGGTATAATTCGCAATCAAATTAATGACTAATTCTTTCTTCTCATATTACACAATAAATTTCTAATATTATCTTTTTTTTTTATGGCGGTCGAATTACAGAAATAATAAGAGCAGTAAACATCCCAACTTTCATCAATGAATTCCAAGAAGGGGCTGTCTATGCATTTCGAAACTATCAGGTCGAGAGTAACATTGGAATGTACAGATCCACCATTGCACAATACATGCTTATCTTACATGGTAGAACTGGACACATAAGCTACAAGGGTTACTTTCCAATTTACCGTTTCGACTTTCGAAGGTTCATCACATTAACTGATGTCGAGAAGATCGACGAATCAATGCTATTTGGCAATTGCATTTTCACTTATTTAATTTTTTTTTAGCATTTCCATGATAAATACTAATTTTACTCATATTTAACACATTTTAAATATCATTGGGATGGTGATCGAGGTAAGTCCAGTTCAATTGAAGACATACCCGAAAACATTTTGCTTCAGCCATCTGATGATCCTATTGCTCAAATCGTTGAAAGCACATATCCAATGTACAAGGAGACGTCTGACGATCCAAGTTATTTGAAGGATAGGGTTATTTTAGCGCCGACGTTGGATGTGGTCGAGTCTATCAATGAGTACATGACATCATTGAATTTGTTGGATGGTTGTATATACTTGAGCTCTGATAGTACTTGCAAATCGGATTCTAATAATGATTTTTTGTCTGATCTCGATACGCCTGAGTTTTTAATAGTATCAAGTGTTCCGGAATACCGAACAATGAGTGTATTTGAAGATTGGAACTCCAGTCATGTTGTTGCAGAACATGGATCATTCTATGGGTTTGTGTAATGGGACACGATTGGTTGTGACAAAACTATCCACTCGTGTTCTTAAGTGTAAGATACTTAGAGGAGATCATGTTGGTGATACGGTGTTGATTCCAAGAATGAACAAAACTCATTCTGATGTTAGAATTCCTTTCAAGTTCCAGCGGCGGTAGTTTCCCATTATGGTTTCTTACGCACGACTATAAACAAGAGTCAGGGGCAATCCTTATCTCATGTTGGCTTATTTCTTAAGAAACCAGTGTTCAGTCATGACCAACTATATGTTGTTGTCTCCCGTGTCATTAACCAAAAATGTTGAAAATCTTAATTTGTGACGAAGATGACGTGCCAAAGAATCAAACCAACAATAATGTATATAGGGAAATGTTCAATAATATATGATCTTTTCAGTTTACTTATATGTTTATATGTCTATTCTTATGATAATGATCATTTTGTTATTACACAATTTATATATAATTTTGTCTTCTAAAAAGCACATAGATAATAATTTTCTCGTGCATCGCAGGGGTGATTACTAGTAAAAAGATAATAACGGTTAAGAAATGTATGTTAGGTATAATTGAAATACTTATAGCTTCTTTTGGTAATATCCCATATATATTAAAGTGAAACGCTAAACACCGCCCCTTTTTTGATATTTTACCGCCCCTAAAAGACTAATTTGCCCTTTATTCATTTTTTAAAAAAGAATAGATGTCTCTCTTTAAAACTATTTACCGGCCAAACCGAGCCTCGAAAAATTCCGAAAACACCTCTGAATAGTTTCGGCGAAAAAATGTTTTCCAACAAGACCGATCATGCGGCGGCCGACCGGCCAAAAATATATATATATATATATATATATATATATATATATATTTTTGGGCTGGCCGGCCTTGAATGCCGGTCATAGCCGTGTCGGCCTTCATTTTGCCGGTAGGCCGGCCCATGCACGGCCGGTTTTGCCGGTTGGCCGGTCCATGCACGGCCGGTTTTGCCGGTTGGCCGGCCCATGCACGGCCGATTTTGCCGGCCGGCCGGCCATTTTTTTTTTTTTTAAATCAATTTTTTAATTATATACATTATATTAGAATTTAGATTAGAATTTAATATCTCATAGTTAGAATTTAGAAATTGTTAAAGTATAAGTTATAACTAATTATCTTATAGAATATTATTATTATTATGTTAGAACTCATTAATTATTATGTTATATAACATAATACTAATTGTCTCTAATAAAATACTAATGAGTGATGCTATTAAAAATTGTATTTATCTTTTTTTCTTAAATCCGCTTCTTTTCAACTCGGTAATAAATTTTAAAATACAAAATAATATTTTGACTTAAATTTGAAATTCATAAATATCAATTTAAATAACAAATTGAACGAAAAAAATCGGATTCTGTTAGAGCAATTCATTGAGACCGATTAATTAAGTTTGATTTGACCGAATTTTATGACAAGAGATTGTTTGACACTTTTCTCAGAGTTATATGATTCGTTTGAATATTATAGTAGGAAAAGCGTTCTAACAAAATAGTAATAAATTTTAATTTATAATAGTAATAATCTATACCATAATAATTTATAACTTCTAACATAGTAGTACTAAATATTATTTCATAAGGCTATCAATTCTAAATCATACCATAATAATATCCAACTTCTAACATAATAGTAATAAATTATAATTTATAACATCATCAGTTTTAATCTATAATACAATAATTTCTAACCTCTAACAAAATATCAATAAATTCTAATTCATAAGACAATCAATTCTAATCTATAATACAATAATTTTTATACCAGCCAAAAAAATAAAAAAAAATTATTTTTATATCAAAAAGGGTAAAACTGTCTTTTTTGGGGGGCAGTATTTAGTAAAAAGGGGGCGATATTTAACAACACCCTTATAAATCAGAACGCGCTGAGCCTACGTGACTGTTTCTGGTGCTTCGGAATCCTATGTGGCAAAATTACATTGGATTGGGTAAATTTTAATTTAATTCCAAATAAAAAATAATTAAGTTCGGATTACCATAAATATGTTGATTATTTAAGGTCATGTTACATGTTAATTGCATTTTAATATTATTCCTTATTATAACTATTGAATTGTATAGATATTTTAAAAGTTAATAATTTTTGTATTTTTTATCAGATTTACATATGTAATATATCATATTAATCTTCTTTTGATGAGTTTGATTTAACATTCATATTGTATATATATATATATAAATAATTATATTTATCTTGATAACAATAATAAAATTATTTTATTATTAATTAGAAAAATAAAATTAATTATTATATTTATATTTCAAGTAGTTATATGATATAAGTTATAAAAACTAATATAATATAACACATGTAAGTCATAAGTAAAACATATCCTTCTAAAATATATAGTAATATATTTTTTTTTTTGTAAAAAAGTAAACTAAAATTAATATAATTTTCTTATTAATTTTAAAATTTAAGAATAGTTTTTTAACAAGCACCCGTGTAATACACAGGTGTTGTACTAGTTATATTATAAATAAAAATATAGAGGGTGCAAAAGTGTTATATAAATAGCCCTATATAGTATTCCCGAATGCGCTGAGCCTACGTGGCTGCTTCTGGTGCTTCGAAATCCTACTTGGCAAAGAATCATGCTTCGTAATTAGGTTTGGACAAATAATATTGATATATTAATAATTAATAATTTAGATTTGGACATTCTATAAATATTATTTAGCTAACTTAGGTATTTTAATATCACACGTACTAATATAACCCTTTATTTCTTTGTAATTTTACATACTGAGGCACTAAGTGACTAATATAAGTAACTAATATATTCATGACTTTTGATTTGTTTCCTTCAATTAATTATTGAATTATAAATGTATGTTAAAAATTGATAGCTTTTGTATTCATTTTTACATGTACAATATATTAAATTAATCATTTTTTTATGATCTTCGATTTGACATCCATATTGTATATATGAAATAACTAAATTATATTTATCTTTATAATAATAAAAATAATAATATTTATTAAAATTCATTAGAAAAATAAAATTATTTCTCAATTGATATATTTATGTTTAATGCAGTTATATGTGGTAAGTTTTAAAAATTGTTATAATATAACACATGTAAGTTGCACAAATAAAAAGTGTCATACTAAATATATAATAGTATATATATTTTTATAAGAGATATTTAAATTTTCAACAATTTTTTTTATTAGTTTTAGATTTTAAGAAAAAATTAGCAAGGACCCGTGTAATACACGGGCGTTGTACTAGTATGTCTCTATTTCAGTAACTAAATTGATGAACAAATGCTATTTTTTTTTTTTTTTTTTTTTTTTT